CAAAGAAAGATCCACAAAAGTGTAATATCTGGAAAAGCTTTTATTCTAAGATTAAATATGTATTTTTCATTATGTTTCTTTCAGCACGCTGTATTTATAAGACCAGTAATTATTTTCAAGGCCAATGCCCCAAGCATATTTTAGGGTTTATTTTATGGCATTTATTCTCATATTTAAATCTGTATTTCTGCCCTTATCTTTTTCTAAATAAAACTACTACCAGGATGCATGAAACTAAGTTGAAGGAAATGGAAATGGATATTGCTAAAAAAACCCAAAGCATTGCTGACCTTAAACGGCTGCTTCAGGAAGCAAGAGAACGTGAACACAATGCCGATAAAAATTTACAAGATCTAAAAGAACAAGTGAGTAAAATTTAGCCAGATGACTCTGAGAATAGAATGATTATTATTAATTTATGTCTTTCTAATGTCTGTAGTGGCAAAGTAGTTATTTTTTCTCTAATCCTTTCTTTTACAGTTTTTTTCAGTCATAGTTGCCTCAAATATATTTACATATTTTAGCCAATTAATGAGGTTTACCACATATTATCAATATATATTCTTGACTTGCAGCCTTAGGGGAAAACTGTGTTTTTCTGCTATGTTCTTCTGTACGCCCTTTTTTTACTATAGTTTCTGATCACATGGAAGCCTGTAAGTAGAGATACTTCAAATGGTCTTTAAAATCCTTCTAGCTTGTTCTGCAGACTTCTCTACTCCTTACAGGTTTTCGGGGGGGAGGATTGACTTAGCCATCCTAAATGGGATCTTGATTTGTTTCCAACACGGCCTCTTACATGTAGCCTCTCATAAGTCTTTCAGATACTATTTTATGTGTGGAAGAGGTGATGTAATTTTAAAACTCAGGTACCTTTGAAAAGATGTACCACATTCTGGCTTTTAAGTACTCCAGGGATGCAGTCCTAGGACTATTCACCTAGGTCAGCTTCCATCTTCTCGTTTGTTAATATGTACGTGTTTTCTTCCCCACACTGTACAATGGTCTTGCACCAGCCATTTTCAGTGTAAGGCACCAAATACAAAACTTGCAGTGTGGGAATTCATATGTATATTATGTAAGAAAGTAGATGTGTTCAATAAATAGAACTTGGAATTGATTCCTAAAAAACAACCATTTTGTTAATTTTTGCTTGTTTTCCCTTTTCTATAATGTCAGCGTTATTAACATGAAGTGTATACCAGCAGCAAAATTAACTCAGAGATAAAAATCTTTCATTATGTGGTACCCAGATGCTTACCATTTTAGGTAGAATCAGAACAAAAGCCTATCATTAACAGTAGCCTCATGGGGGTTCATAAATTGTCACCACATTCATAAACTGTATATTATCTTCTATTTAGAACACTATTTTTCTTGCTTTAGCATCTTTACCAAAAGGCACTTCTAGAGGCTTGTTCCCTCTCTGGTCAGGGACCTATTCTAACTTAATGACTGCAGGTCATACCTAGTCAATGTACACTCATTTGGGTTTTCACCGCAAAATTACAGGCTTTTCATATTATCTTTCAAAAGGAACTTGAACACCTAGGGATGCAAATAAGTACATCAGTAGTATTTTTAAAGCACTTAATGATTTAGGCATATCACTTCCTTAAGCATCTGTATAAATTATGCTGATGTAGCTACGTGTCTAACTTTTTTTGTAAATCTAACTTCTGAATACTTTTTTTTTCATCCTTCATGAAATATGTAGCAATGATCTATGCAAACTTTGAAAAGGCTGCTGAGAATTAGCTTCATACAAACTCTCAGTAGATGAACACTTGGTTTCTTTTTTTTTGATAACCTAGTACCTGGTTACATCTTTAGTATTATTTTCATTCATTTTTTAATCCTGGGTCCAAGAAAACTGTCTGAACTGTGTTGTTCATGGATGCTGTTTTCATAAGTAAAACTTTCTTCATTTTTCTTTCAAGATTAAGCTTCTCAAATATCTTCCTGAAGGTGAAAGGACAGAGCAAAGCCTCATCAAGGAGCTTCAGCTTTTAAGGTAACATACTTCTAAATAAATAAATACCTCAGCCAATATGCATGAAATAAGAATGACCAGGAAATGTCTATTGCACATTTCTAGTTAAAGTTCTAAAATACTTTAATAATTTTTAAAAATTATTCTAAAATTGTTTTATATTCCAGATTAACTAATAATCGATTAGAGAAAGAAAAAGCAGAACTAGTGCACCAGATGGAGGATTATAAGAACCACAGACACACCTATACAAGTGAAGATCTGGCAGCTGGTAATAATTTTCAATACCTAAAATAAAGATCTTCCTGTATTTGGAGCCTAAAACTATTTTTACTAAATATATTTGTGCAAAGTGATAATAAATCTAAAGAACTGTTTGATTTAGATTAATGCCAAAATAGTGTAAACTGTAGCAGACTAAGGCCTTGGATTTTTGAGTACATATACAAGCCTTTTGTAGAGAATTCTTAGTAAAAATCTCCATAATCAATTATCCTGAGCAAGAGACTGTAATCTTTGTATGATTTTTTCCTCACAAGGTGTGTAGTTCATGCCACCACTTGTTTTATTAGCCTCAAAAGACTGTAAGATATCAGTCATTCACTAAAATACTCTTTTGCTTTGGGTTCTAAGCTGCTAGAGAATGACTGCCTACTTCCAGATAGCAGCTCTGTGAATAACTTAAGATTTAGCAGGCATCAGTCCCATGGGAAAAGCAGAGCACATTGCCATATGACTGGAAGAATAAAACCAAAACAAACTAACCCTCCTGAATTTAAGAATACACATAACAAGATCCTAATGTTATTTCCAGACTTCCTGAGCTTAATTCAGAGAAAGTGTACATGTCATATTTCTCAGAAGTGTGGTCACTGGACTACTGCATTCAATCACAAGAACTAGACACCACTGTCTAATTTTTACAAGAACTAAGGAAAAGCCCAGATGACTTGAATTTTTGGTGATCCCAGCTGGGTTTACACACTTCAACTGTTTCAGCTTTCAGGAGATGCAGAACTACTCGAACAAGATTATTTGTGCCATGGATTTTCATTACTATAAATTTCATAAAAAATCATCATTATTTTTACAGGGCATAATGAAATTGTAGAGAAGGATAAAATAGCTGACCTCCAGACACAGCTGAAAGCCCTAGAGCTGGAAAAACAGCAATTAAAGGTGAGTTGCAAGGATCATCCTAGGCAAGATAACGAGTAAAATTACGGTTAGCTAGAAAGAGCTGTTTAATATCTAAATTAATATTTAATGACCAAGTCAATTTCAAACCATTATGTTTACAAAGCCTATTTTGTTTTTAGTGAATGTGCTGTTTATGGGTAGAGTTTTTTTGTCTCTAGATAACATCCTTATTATCTCATCATTTAACCTCAAGACAAAGGAAAAAAAGTTGTGCTGTATTAACAAAGTTCTTGATAAAGGTGGAACTCCTTCATTCTTTTCAATAGGAGGAGACAAAAAAGCTGAGAAGAGAATTAGAAAACTATGACCCTTCCTTTTTTGAAGAACTTGAGGATCTGAAATATAACTACAATGAAGAAGTAAAAAAAAATATAATCTTAGAAGAGAAGTTGAAGCAGCTTTCTGAAGAGTTTGGTATCCAAGTGCATAGTCCAGGCAACATTGCTGTTGATTAGGCTAGTGTTTAGTATTCTCAGCATTGATACAAAAAATAAATTCCACAGCAGTTATGTAATATTAATTTGTCTGTGGTTATCTTAGAATAATACAAGTCTCTTTAAGTTACACTAGTTTGCACACACCTAAGAATGCAGAATTGGATTAGTCAACAGTTATATACATCAGTCAAAATAAAAGTGAGTTTTACCTCTCCCAGCTCCTTCACAGTATCACATTTTAATTCAGAACAGTTAAACTGGGTAATACACAGGTTTCAGGTGAAGTTGAAACCTTGGGCTTATCCTAAAAGTTGAGAAACTCTTAAAATGTCAGCATATGTAGCTAAGTGTGCTAAATTCCAGATTAATAAGAATAGATAATTAGCACTTGCTGTCTCATCTGACCATACTGTTTAACTCTGAACTCAGGGTCAGTATGTGGGATGGCTGTATTTACATCCCTGGTTATTTTTACCTCAATTTTAAAAAAACCAAGAACAAAGAACTGAAAATTAAATTGGTATTTCAGCCAAACCAATGGTATTTTTGTACATAATTGATTTTTTATTTTGTATATTTTATATAGCTGGATGTATACTTTTATAGCAGAAATAAAATAAAACCAACTCAAACAATCATTCAGTCTCACCTTTATTATTTATATGCCTTATTGTACTTAATATACCCTTGAAGTTTCCTAATTGAGATGCAGTTGTAAGTGGAAATTATTAAGCCATGTCTCTCTCCAATTACTAACGATCTCCAAAATAAAACTAGTATACTTTCTATTATTTATTCTTTTTGTCCCAAAATAGTGGAAGTGCCCATAGGATAGAGAGTAACTGGGGTTTCAAGTAATAGCATAATGCTTATGTTAAATAATACAGGGAAAAGTTTTGCCCTATAAGAAACTGTTACTACTTAAAAAAAAGTTATCAAATTTTAGACAAATTCTGGTCCCATCAGAAATATGGTCTTTACTGTAAAGAAACTAGATCCTAAATCTGAATCCTACATATAATAGTGTCATAACAATTATATTTTTAAAAGTGCAACCTATGTAATTTTTCCATTTGATTGCATTCATTAACTAAGCTTTTAGAACGACCCATTGATAGACAACAATACTTCTTACACTTAATGTTGACAGTTTCCAGAAATGGGTTCAAAAGTTAAGGATTTTTCAGAAAAGAAAATAAACATGCTGGAAGCTAGATCTCGCTCTGGCTGTCAGATCTCTGTTATCTAAAATTAGTCATTTAGAATAAACTTAAAATGATACAGTACCTGGGCTGTTGCCTAAGCTGGTAGATTATTTGTAAAAAGTTCTGTGGTAGACACAAGTAAGAGGAATGCAGCACACGGGACAATTAACTCAGAAGCAGAAAATCATTTTAAGCATCAAACTTGATATCTTTGAGTCTGTCAAATCTTTGACCATCCAAGTTTGAGAAATGGTGAAACAAACTCTTTGGTTCAAAGTCACATTCATATTTAGTTCTATTAAAAGAAATTACAACAGGCTGAGAATTCAGGTATGTCTCTGCAAGCGGCCAGGGTAAATCAAGATGATGGCGATGGAGCTAAAACAAAAAGAAAGAAGATCAGCTCAGCAATTTTGATAGAGTAGCACAACTTCCAGGTTGGGGGGGTGTGGGTATGTGTGGGTTCTAGGATCCTCTGCATTAGGGCACTTAAAACCATTAATCAGTTATCTGAATAATATGAGTAACAATGAAGCACAAAAGGCAAACTAGAACCAAGGTGTCCTCCACAGTTTCAGAAACAATACAAACGTGCTAATTAAAAAAAAATCACATTCTTATTAATAATACTTGTTCCATAAGTCATCAATACAAGAAATTAATTTTTAAATAACAGAATTAAGATTTAAAATTAATGATTCCTATACAGAGAGGCAAGAAAATACTATGTTCTCAATTACTTTGTTAGCATAATGTTGGGAATGAAAATGTTCAATGTCATCATTGCAGTGATTCAGTGGCTTGACTAATTCTACTGTCATCTCATTTGATGGAGGACATTTATTATTTAAAAATTTGGAAAAAGAGACAAAAAATGAGTACTGTACAATACTTCACATACTGTGAAGTATTGTAGTGTTTTTCACATGTCTATCCTTATATTTACCTTGATTAAACACCCATCATGGCAGTGCCACACAATTCCTTCAACTTTACCCTCACTGCAGCTTTCAAACCAAGACAGTATGTCATTTTGCTTCAAAGTAGGTGGATTCTTTATTTCAAATGCTCCATGTGGTACCAGAAGATGTACAGGGTGCTTCTTGCTTCCTAATCCTGTTTAAAGAAACAAATATATTCCTGTTAGTTAACATGTGACACCTTAAAATTTTTCTCATTTTTGTTACTGTGGCTATCTTAAAAGTACTCTGTGGATTTCTATTAGATACTACAATATCGTCCTGCCTTTAACTAAACATTAAGTGTATTTTTAAGTATCAGATGCAGCTGTCTATCCTCACATTTTAATTTATTTATTTAAATCTCCTTCTCCTTTGAATAAAATAAACATGACACAGAGATTTTTACAGTTGTATGTTTTGTCCTTCTGGTCACCTCCTCAGTAACCGTAACGCTACTGGCTAAATTTTTCACACTTCAGATCACAGTCAATGGCACAAACATCTTAGTTCCAGAAAATCTGGCATATCTTTTCATGAATATGGATGAATACTTAAGCCAGGCTGTTAACAACTGCATTGCCTCTTCACTGACTGTTCAACACAAATCTTCATTTAAGAATACAGCTACTGAATTTTTTTTTTTTGCGGTTCTTTTTATGTACTGGGAAAATGCTTAGACCAGATATGACTGTCCTTGCAAGTTATCCTGACAGCAAAGCTCTGAAATTAGAACTCACTTGTGCTCATATCCAATTGTTTTTTTGTTATAAGGCTTTTAAAGGAAGAAGCCACAACCAAAATTTAACTTAAATTACACTTCCTTAAAAAAAATTCCTTTTTCATAATTTAAAAATTGCAACTTATGACTAATTCTAGGGGCTCCAAAAATGGTTGAATAAAATTTTCTACTTCAATGGACTAAACACCATCAGAAAAGCAAGTAAAAAAAGTGAAGAAAAGGCACCAAGAAACAATCTTAAAAAGTTATTTTAATATTTTAATAGTAATATTTAAAACAGCTTTTCCAGTCAAAATATTTTTTGAAAGACTAAAGCAAAGCATTTTTATAGCACTGATGTTTAATAGAGATAACTAGTCCCATGACAAATAAGCTTTCTAAGGTATTTTTGGGTGACTGTTCCTTCAGCTATCCCTTTCTCTCCCTTCTACGAAGGTTGCTACCAGAGAACTTTTAAAAAAAACTTACACAAAGAAAATGCATAGTTTTCACTCAAAAATAGCACTAAATTAAAAATGTATTTAAGCACAGACCATACAAACTTACCATATGGATTTGCATTAATATTGGTCCCAATAAGCTCCAATGTTTGTTCTAGAAGTTCCGATAACGGCACTGGACTGATTTCCAGAAGCCCTGGGTCAGCATGGCGTTTCAATACCAGTGCTATTTCAGCCTCATAATTTATAACAGATGAGTGCCAGCAATACTGCTTACTATTTTTCTCCACAGGCACCCAACCTATGAGAAAACACTGCATTTTACCAAAGTAAGCATCTCAAGTTATTAAGTATGCACTAGACCTGTACATGCATTAAAAAAAAAAAAACAAAAACAAGAAACCACAGTTAACTACAAAGAGAAAGAGTAACAAGAGAAACTGTTGTGTGTCAGAAGAATGCAAATGTGACATTTATGCCTTCCTGGATAGTGAATGAATGACATTACAATTCTTTTTTTTTAAATACAATAACTGCTATTTTTAACTCTGGAACTAATTCTAATTCACTCCAAAATTCACACACCCACCCTCACCAACCCCTTTCCCCAATTTTACCTGTGCTGCATCATAGGTACCTGGCATATGTCCATTTTCATCGGGCAATGGATTGCCATTAGAGAACTCTAAGTCCTTTGCTGGAATCCAGGTATCTGGAACAGGCTTGAAATCCTCTTCAATATTCCATGCAAATTCTAAACATATAAATGCGACATTTAGTTTTCAGCAAACTGTTAGCCAATTTTGCTAACAGTTTTCAATGTTTGTTGTTTTTCAATGCAATTATTAAAGTACCATTGATCTAAACCTTGTTTTACAGACAGTAGTCCCAGTTACTTCATACAAGCACCAATATCTGTCACACTCGAGTAGTCTATAATTAGGATGGTTTAAAGAAGCACGTAGCCTTTAAGTAGTTTAAAAGTTCAAAAACTAACTAAGATTAAAAAAATAGCTCCCTATGCCAGTTTAAACCTCTCTCAAAGTAAAGAGTGACGTTAAAAAAATTGGAGCAGGATCACTGACATTTCCCATGTTAGATTAGTTTTTCCAACCAGCTAACTTACTTTGCCAAAAAGAAGGAAAAAAAATCTTCACAGACCTTTGCAATCTTTCAAGGAATGCAAGAATTGTCTAAACTTTTTTTCGCCTTGTTTGCTGGGTCTTCGATCCAGTCTGGCCCATAGATAGGGTTGCCCTAGCGTTTCCAGAGAGAGAAAACCAGCATGTTACTGAGGTAACCATACACTGCAGAGTACTGAAATCAACTGTGTAACAGGCAAGAATTCTCAACTGCCACTAGAGAAATTTTATATCCAAATCTGCTATTTAAAGTCATAAGTTACACTATATGAATCTAAAAATCTATTTTAGATTCTAGATACAGTCTTGCCTAATATAATACAAAGTTTTTTACAATTTCACGGAAAGGCAAGAACCCCAGCGATGCAATGAATCACAGTCTTCTCATTTCCACTCCAACTCCATAATTCTATTAATCTTACCCAAGGAAATCAGACACTATTATACAAGTCCCAGTGTGCAAGGAAGACTTACTAATACGACATTTTAAAACTGGAATAGTTCCTGGATTGTCATGTTCACTTAAACCATACTTCATGTATTTCAGAGACTAAAATCTGTAACACCTTCAGAAACACCTGCTAAGTCTATGGTAGCTATTCCTTTGTGGTCAAGGTGCTTCATGACAGTTGACTTCACAACAGCTGTAAATAAATCATACCATGAAAATGAAAACTAAGTAAAGCAAGGCTTCTAGTCAGCATGAGAAATCTGCATATGGGTCTTCCTTCTTACCTTTATAGGTCGTTACGTAACAGCAGGTTCCATCCACCTTTTCAGTAGGAATTGCATTGTGTATATCTGCCGCTAATGCCTTTCCAGATATAGTTTCAGTTGCCAAAACTTTAAATGGCTGAAAAGAAGACAAGTGGCTATGTTATTGCCTTGCTCTCCTAGGGCTCCTTACAGTTGGCCTCTACTGATTTCTAACACTATCGAAATACACCCTTGTTTCTTCAAAACTTGACAGTTTGCAAAATGGTCTAAGACAGAAGAACCAAGGCAATCTGTTTGCTAATTCTCTCCCCCTTTCCCATTCTTGATTAGCATTCAAAGATGATTTTGCTTTCCACTTTAAACAGGGCATATAAACTAGAAGGGGTCCAGTCCAACGCTGCAAATATTTTAAGATGTGCCTTCCTGTATTAGAGTGGCAATAGAAATTCCTCATGACTAGCTCTCCCACGCTTTCAGTTTGGAGCTGAAAGTCAACAGCATCATGTTAGTGCAATACACAGACCAGCGGAATGCAAGGTGGCCAAAGCATCCTGGTATTAAATACTTAGTATCAGTGCTATCAACTAAATACTTCTGTGCTTCAAAAGAGCAAAGAAATACATGATCTGTGGATCTGAAACAAATAGCCAACTAACAGAAATTTCTAGTAAGATATTACAGCTTCTCTAACACTTTCACTACAAACATGCAAGCAGTTGTGTTTGGATTCAAATGTTCTCCTCTACAGTCATCATACTTCCTTCTTCTCTCCCCAGTCAACTTTGTCTTTTAAGCTGGACACTGTCTCTTTCAGTGGACACAAAGCAAGTCCTTGTCTTGCAGAAGTCTTGAAACAGAATGCTTTTGTTACATGGCATGTCTGTTTCACATTTTAGTTATAAATCTGTAACCATGACATACAGCGTATATTAAGACTAAAGATTACATGATAAAGAAAAATTTCAGGGTAGTGAGAAAGCAATCCCATTGGTTTTAGCAGCACCACCTCTCCTTTCTTCCCTACCAGTCATAACCCCACTTTATCTTTGCCTAAACTTTGTAAATAACCCCAAAACAGCGTGTGCCAGTTCCAGATCTAATACCCCGTTCACTTTTCCCGTATGAAGGAACAACAGTGTAGGGATGTACCCTTACATGACCATTTTCGATGGTGCTGGTACCCTGAGTTGAACAATTACATTACTGTCCTTTGTGCAACCATTTCAGGTCTTCGGTCCAAAAGCCAATCGCCAGTGGGACCGAGTCACCCAGCTGGATTCAAGTTCACTACGCAGCTGCTACTAAAATCAGGAAACACAGGTTGGAGATCTGCAGGTGAATGCCACCCCAACCTGCCCACGTCTCACAGCCTCAAATTAATTATTCTGTCATAAGCCTGATATTCCTTCGACCACAAAATGAAAACAAATAAAAACCAAACCAAAACAAAGAAATAGACAAGCTCGGTTTTTTTCCCTACGAGGCTCACAGGCGGGGACAGCAGAGTGGTTTTACACAGGCTCCCAATGCGGTCACGTAGGAGCGGCCTTCACTTAGAAAAAGCAAACACAACATCAAGGCGACAACATTTCTGCGTGGGGCTGAGCTGAAACGGCATCCAAAAAGCCTTTCTTCCCTGCATTTCAGGGGGAGAACCGCTACCGTGGATTTCGCTCAGAATCTGCAGCCAAACCTGTCGCCATTCGGCTGTGGCCAGGCGGCCCTGACACGGTCGGTGCTGTGGCAACCCGCGGCCCAGCGATTTCCTCCGGGCTCGTGCAGGGGCCTAGCCCCGCCTGCCTGCCTCCCGCTCCCCCGTCCCCTGCCGCCCCGGGCACCTGGCGCTCCCTCTTGGCCGACGGCTCCTTCTTCACCTCGGTGACGAACAGACAGGGCACCTTGCGCTGCACAGGGCTCCGCCGCCTCATGGCCACGGCCGCCCGCTCCCGCCGCGCCCGGCAGCGCGCCTGCACCGCCCCGGCCGCGCTGCGCCACGGGAAATGGAGTCCGCCCGGCCCCGCCTAGGGCGCTGCTGAGCGACCGAGCACCGGGGGCATCGGGGTCAGTTCCCTCCATCGGCCCTCAGCGAGGCGGTGGCCTCTGCCCGGCCCGGGGCCAGGGGCAGCTTCACTTTGCCCAGCGGAGGCTCCCACGAGAGTGGACTCCTGCCTCCATGGGTCCAAGGTCCTGCCAGGAGCCTACTCCAGCAGGGGCTCTCCACAAAGTCACAGCCTCCTTAGGGTGCATCCACCTTCTCCGGTGCGGGGCCCTCCATGGGCTGCAGGTGGATCTCTGTTCTGCCGTGGACTTCCACGGGCTGCAGGGGCACAGGTGCCTCCCCATGGGCTGCACCATGGGCTGCAAGAGAGAATCTCTGCTCTGGTGCCAGGAGTCCCTTCTCCCTTTCCTTCCCTGAGCTTGGAGCCTGAGGGTTCTTACTCACATACATTCTCATTCCTGTCCCTGGCTGCTGTTGCCTAGCAGGCTGTGGTATCTTTGTGGTGTCAAAGATTTGTTCCCAAAACTGTAGTTCCATCAACAAGAAGTTGGGTATTATTTAAGCCCCACCAAATGGTTTTTTTCCGTTTTATGCTAAGGAAGCACTAGAATGGGAGACTCTTTGAAACAGTTTGTTTTTCTGTGCCTTCTTGGAAGCAAGAGAGATAAAGAAAGATGTTCAGCCTGGACAGATCATGTAGCAGCATCATGCTGATGTCCCAAGCTGGAGGAGCAGTTGGCAACTGTCAAAATGTAACATTCCATCCTGGCTAACAACTGCTTTCAGTTCAGTTCAACAGTTCAACCACATGGAGAAGGTACCACTTGCTTCACTCAGCTATCTTTTGTTTTAGCTACACTGTCCATCTGGGTTTCATTTCATCTGAAGGTCCAGTATTTGAAGGAAAGCTACTGTTTTCAGGATAAGATTATGATTTTCCTGACAGCTGATAGCATAGCTTTAATTCAAAGAAATATTTATATTCCACCTGGTAATAATCCAGGCGTGGGTATGGGCTCCTGCTTATTGCATCCATTTTTAAGAGTTGGGGATTTAGGGGTTAATGCCAGAGAGATGGGCTTTGACTCCAGACCCCAGTGTGTCTGGTGGGATGGCTCAGTTGTAGTCACTACAGTCCAAAAATTTTGGAGATGTTACTCATAGACAAAGTTGTTAATATCTGGAATTCAGTGAAACCTGCCTCCAAATATTCCAATATTTTCAAGTGTGGCTCTGTTTCTGTCTAAAAAATGACACAAAAAATTCATTTAGAAGTAACTGGCAACCTGGCATTTACAGCTCTCAGCTGGGATGCCATTCACATCCAGGGTATAAACCTGAGTTTACATAGTCAGGGTAGGGCTCATGAGCACTTGCCTCTTTGGAATTACAAGTTTAACATATGCTTGAGAAAGATATCTCAGCTTATAAGGATAAATGAATTGCACCATCAGAGATGATGCTAAAAACTGTAAACTTTAATAAGACAGTGCTATAGAACAATAATTTTATGTATTACTAACAAAAGTCACTTGTCATGAAAGTACTATCTCTGTAGTTTTGTGCAGACGTTTTAGCTGGTGCTACATTGATCAACAGAGGAAGAGCAGCAGTGTATATATAAGTAAAGAAACAATAATTAATTATTGTTTAATTATAATTAATTTAAAAAATCCATGTAGAGAGTTATTACTCCCATTAGGCTTTTGTTTGTTATCTATAAAAACAGCTGAAAGATGGTGAGCAGTGTGATGACAACAGTCTCATAATGTCAATTCCCATTTCTTCTCATTTTTTTGTTGGGAATCTTTCTGGGTTTTGTTTCTTATCCCATATTTCCCCATAGACCTATGTCTTTTAATAGTAAGACAGTACTAGTTTGCACTTATACGGCACATTTCATTGGAGATTGATCTGATTTTCCCATTGAACAGGAGAGAAAACTCAGCCACATGTCAGTTAAGTGACTAATAGATTTTTTTTCCTCCCAGCCTCTCATGAAAAGTCTGCAGTAAACTAAGTAGACTGCCTTACTCCTCTTCTTATCTAGTAACAGTTTTACATCATCAAACTCTGTTGACCTAAGTCAAGATAACTTTAGACCTATCTGGAACTTAAGATAACTTTCAGGATAATTTGAAATGTTGTAAACTATCAGAACATGGTCCCACAAAATCTTAGTTATATGTTTACAGCAGTGTGAACTGTCATATGTTCAGGCCAGTGTTCACATTGTGCTAATCTATTTAGTCCATTTTTTGATTGTTATACTTACAATACCTGAAAACTGTTTTCTCTGGCAGCAAAACTACAGCAAGTTCTCCTGTTTCTGGGAGACAGAGCCCGTAGGCTGTAGGAGGATAAGCTGTGACTTCTTTCACAGAAAACCCCGTAATATAAATGGACTTTATTTGCCACCGAGTAACAGTGAGTAAAAATATTTTCTCAACAATTTGTTCATTAGAGTAAGGAAATAGACAAAAATGTGCTCCCAGCATTTACTTCCAGTGCTTATGTAATATATAATATGGTTAAGAAATGGACCATGGTGAACCAATCAGGTATGATCTGCTATCCCAGCAAACTCAAGGCAAAGAAGGATTGCCACATGAATTATTTTACCTGTCATATTACGAATCTTCATACCTATTAGTGACATGAAAGATCAAGTCACAAATGGCAATTTAGGTGCTGAGATCCATGGAGTAAAAATGTTGCTTAACTTGTATTTTTGACAGATCTCTCTCATAGTTAAAATGGTTAGTATGCAGATAATCATTTAAGAGAAATTAAAAGTAGTGTGTGTGGTGGGGGAGGAGGTTGGTAGGGACACTAATAGTAATATTTGTTGATAGAGCACATGTTGTATGGATGAGACAACCCTTGAAGAGATAACATCAGATTACAGTGATGTGTGTGCAGATATATTTCCAGTTCATCGTTTTGAATAAAATTTTCAGGCTTGAACATTGGTTGCATGTTGCTGAAGTACAGTAATAGTGTGTAAGGCAGCACACTTTGTGGAAACCCCCACCATTACAAGTTGGGTTTTTTTCCTCAGCCCTCTCTAAGAGGAGCTCTTGACTATTAGGAGTCCTGGTAGGCAGCTGGAACCCAGAACAGGATAAGAGTCCAGAGCAAAGAACCAAGACAGATGTCAGAAGCAGGAGTGAGGAGAGCAAGTCAACACAAAACCTTGTGTTCCTGAAATTCCCCCAGAAAAACATAGCGTGTCATATCTGAGCATGTGGAGCTTAACTAACCACACAGGACCAAAGCAAGAACTTGAGTGCTGTTTCTCTGAGTGCCCATACTGCTTTTAGCACAGTTGCCACTTACACAGCATAGGCCCACTTTTAGGTGTGGTGAGAGTCACAGACTATGCCCAAGAGGAACTATGAGCAATGTCCAACAAGCAGAAGCAGAAAACAAACACAGTCCTTTGACTTTTTATTGCAATATGTACAAATTCAAAGTCTGTTTGCAAATACTAAACTTGCATTTATTTGTACTAATACTTAGAAATGTTGTTAAACTAATTTAAGTTTGTTTTGGCTTATACTACCCGGAGCTAATAATATCCTGTTCTGGACAGTGAAAAAGGCTCTATGAAGTCAGTGTTTTATCTTACACATCTCTTTCATGAGATGCAACAAATCTGATCTGCAATAGTGTTATAAAAATGGGTTTAATATGATATACATGCTGCTCATAGGCAAGCAAGAGATGCATAAGAATAACAACAACTGGAATAATAGAAAAATGCCCACACTTTCTTTTAAACTGGAAAATATATCCAACTTCTTTAATATAATGCACAGAATCCTGATTGGATCTATAGTTGCAAATAGGTCAGCTCGAACAGTACAAATAGATTCAACATTTTTCATCATTTATCTTTTCAGTCCATTGCATTTCCTGGCTCTTGGAATATGTTATCCCAGTACTGAAGCCATTTTGCTGCAAACATTATATAGAGAGAGAAATCCCCGAGGAAAATAATAAATTTTCTGATTTTCTTCTAATTAAGTGTAAATTATTTTTATGAACTACGCATTCCTTGTGCCTAGTAAAGAGAGTTGATAGGAAAAAAAATATGTGCAAGTTTAAAATGGGCAATTCTGTACTTAGCATTGCTAAATTCTTCAAAATGGATACCATGAGATGATACAACTTGCCTGTTATTCAGCACGTTTAAAATATTTTCATAGGTGGGATCCTAAACTCACCCACTTACTCATTTCAATCCAGGAATGATTAATCACGCATTTCTCTATCTTGTAAATGTCTTAAAAGGGATTGGAAGAAAGAAGTTTGCTGACTCAAATTAATCTATCTACTAGCTGGAAGAGATAACCAGCTGGTTATCTCTTTTTATCACTAAGCTGTTTTTTAAACAGCTTAGTGATAAAAACGTTCCTCTTTCAAAAGTCTGTATTCAGCAGTGCCTCATCTGTCCATTCAGAGGAACTAGTACCTGTGTTTTTCCTACTTTCTGGAGTTGGAAGATGTTCTTTTGCCAACCTCTGCACAAGATAATGCCCAATCCTGATAAGGATGTCAAAAGTATACCTGCTAGTGTGAATGTGGATTTGATATTCTAGTTCACTCCTAATAAAGTACATCTAATGCTCTTGTTTGCAGATGTCCCATTAAAACAGGATGTCCAAGGAGGGATTCTGCATCCAGTCCTTCGTCAAGACTCACTCAGAAATCAAGAGAATATTTTATTGCCAATTCATCCTCCACTGATTATAAACCTCGGTGAGGAAGAGGAGGATGAAGAGGACGATGGAGAGGAAAAGAACTGTAAACAGTTTTTTTTCTTTCTTTTATAAGGAAGTTAAATGGCTTTTGTCAACTCTTGCAATGTACTTCAGAAGTGATTTATTATAATAACCGCTACATTTTTATAAAAGAGTTGTTGACAAGTTTTTTAAATAGTTTTCAGCTAATCCTTAAAATGTTGAAACTGATAGTCACCAGATGTAAGCAAGGCAATTTTTTCTAACTCCCTTGTATTTTTTAGTACATATTTCAATAGTGGTATAATTCACATACCTTTTTTTTATTAAATTAATTTTAAAATGCGATCCACAATTCATATGGCCATCAAAAACTCTTCAAAATTTTGAGATGAAATTACAAGCTTAGGAGGAACTTCTTTTCTGGGAAACAAATTTTTGAACAAGGGCTGTACAGACTCATCACTGAAGGTGAAGTCTCAGGTTTTTTACAAAAGATGGTTGTGTGAGTGAGTTACACTTAATTTCATCAACTGATTTACTAAACTCTGCAGGCAGTCTAATTTTTTTAGAGGAAGTTATTCTTAAATCTAGTGAAGAGAGTCCATGCAAAACTCTTCACTAGTTTGACTGAATGTTTATGTGTATATATATATATATATATATATATGTTAATATATTTAAACCTTTGACTGTATCTCACTTAGAGATACGAGATTCTTAGGGAATGAACAAATTGCACATTCCTGAAGAGTGAAAAGTGAGAGAATGACCTACTCTCAGGAGTGCACTCAGCAAATTATTGTAGTGCCCCAAGCCAACTTTCACTTTCTCCCTCAGGTAGGGCAGCCTGCTAGAGCTTCTTAACATGCTTTCAGTCTGAATATGCCGCATTAACTCAAACAATATAGAAGGCAGGCCTTTGCTAGTCTTCAGAGCTTTAACTGAGAGAGGTAAGGAGCACTCACTTCACCAGCTCTGATAGCAGACACTACAGAGTAGTAACCTTTGGCAAAGGTACCACCCTGTCTGGTGACATTTTGAATCAGATTTCGTTGTGGGTGTAAATGAAGGATTATTTTCAAAATGAATACCCGAGATGCTTTTGAATCATTTAAAATGAACAAACATTTGCTTCTTAATATGTGTTTTAACTGCAATTCCATTATACATGAAAATACCTAATGTTAAGGAGTCATTTTTCTGTCTGGAAGCAGAGGTTGCAGTCAGAAACAAAAATAACCTATGATAGAAATGAAAGTCATTATGGTATTTGATTATTAAGAAATGTTGACGATATTCATATAGTTATCTTGTAATCTTTTATAAATATTTCCTACAGCTGTTTCTAACTTGAGGCCCAAGACCACTGCAGATATTGAAGAGGAAAGAGCGATAAGGGATATATGCTATAAATCTGGTAAATATGAAATTAGTCACTCTTTTCTAAACAGCAATGCTGCCAATACAGTAATCTTTGGGCCTTTTTTTTCCCCCTCTTGGGGCATGTTTAGGAGAGTATTATGGAATTCAGAACCCTCACAAACATCAACCAACAAAAACTGGGTCTTCACCTTGGCAAGATGAACTACTACCCTTGGAAGCTACTGAACAAAACTTACAGAAAGGCAAGTACTTTTAATTCCCTTGAACTGTGTTTACCACTTTTAAAATGGCTGTAACAGGGCAAAACTATTACATAGTTTGCACTTCTTTGCCACTTTTTAAATTTAGTGAAAATAAAATATTACAAAAAACATATTTGTATTTGTAAGCATATTGCCAAACCACTTCATTAATTTTTACCATATATAGATATAGATATATAGTCCCACTTATGTGACTACTTGCATCAATTCTACATGGAAAAGGTAGAAATGGGTCATTAAGGCAATGTGTGTACTTTCCTGACATGCACAACATAGGTCTTTCATATAATTTTTCTTCACAATCAAGATTTGCGTAGTTTAATTTTAACCATCCTAATGTTAGGAATGTAGTTTAAATTTCTCATGGAGGCTCTCTGTTGTAAGTTGAGAAAGACTGGAAATCTTATGGGGCTATTTATTGCATCATCAGGTGCACCAAAGGAAGGTGAGATGAATCACTTTGCCAGAGGTGCTCTGCCCTCTCTGCTGACTGTCTTGAGTGTCTAGATAGCAAAATGTAGTGATAGAGCAAACGTTTCTATAACTAAATTTAGATTAAGTAAATACCCCCCTCGAGGGTCTTGAAACGAAAGAGTTCTATTTTGTTTCAAATGCTGGGCTTCATCCAGCATAGTTAAGGTCAAATAAATACAAATTCATAAATATTTACCACAGCTATTATGTTACTTCATTCGTTATTCTCTTCTATTTTCTAAATTTAAAATGTTTGTAAATAAAGTAGTTTCGATAAGCTATTTTTAACACATATATAGATACATTTAGTCTACAGATGAGGGAATCAGTAACAAATACATAAACATAGCTTTTAGGAAGTGTATATATTTATCATTAGACATATTTAGAGGAAAGGATAGATATGTTTCCCCAAAGCAGTTTTTCATTTGAGTTCTCTGAGGCTTTAGGTACATCTTGAAAATGACATAAATTCATTCAGTGAGGATTCAAAAATATGATTCATGGAAAGTGAGAAACTCATGAATAAGCAGGTAGTTTATAGCTAGGTCTTTTCTTTGATGCCACAGTCTTCTTTAGCCTATGTATTATGATATTATCTTAGAGAGCATGAAAGTTATGCATCAGTTACACTAGACAGGATCCAAATAACTGATAAAAGAGAAAGAAGGTTATGAAATGAGAGGTTAAGAGAAATTACACTAATCACTGGCTCATGGAGGTGGGAGGCGGAGAATGTCAGTACCATTCCCTGGGCTTACCCACAGCTAAACATTCTCTGTTGCCTTTCCAGGTGATGGTAACACAATTCCTACAAAATGTAATAATGCAAGAAAAGAGAAAGAGAGTTCAGAAAGGAGAGTACCAATAGAGAGTACTCCCAGAAAAGATCATAAATCCTTTGTCAATGGAGGTAATATACTGTAGCATCAGCTTCTCATTGCTGAACATCATGTGGTAAATAAAATAACCAAAGATGCATGCTTTAAACTTCAACACTTTACATTTGAGTTATTCTTTGTTCTTTATGTTCTAGACACTCTTTCTCATGCTGCACCATTAATTATAACAATCAAACCCACTGTTTATGATTATGTATTATGCTTATTTTAGGATTATGCTGAAAAAAAAATCCTTTAAGCTGATTACAATTGACTTTTTTCATACTGAATTTTGGGAAAGAAAGGATTCTGTGGAGTTACAAAAAAGCAAGTGTAGAGATGCGCACATGATTAAATGTTTTCAAAAACCGTTACATTTGTGAGACTATCCCTAGTTGAGGTGAATAAGCTTTAAGTTTTTCAGTTATCTTACAGAGAAATAACAAAGCTGCAGTCCTCTATCTTGTGTAACAGGATCCTATCCCTCTGCATAAACTTGGTTGATGTAGATGAAGACACAGTGTTTTGACCCTTTGAGTTCAGTATTGAATTGTCATTAAAGCTGAATAATGCTCCATTCTCCTTGAATTTACTTAGTACTCGGTGGTATTCAATCCTTTTTCTTCATAAATATTTATTAGTTGTAAAAATAGTAGTAATTGTTGTAGTATTCTTTTTTCCCCCTTAGTTTGTCAATGCACTACCATGCCAGGGCTGCTTGCTCTAGCTTGGAGCAAACTGGTGTGGGTCTTGTAGCTCCAGAACTTTATTGGACAGTAAAAATGTATCTTATGTGCTACTTATTTTCCTGTGACCTTTATATACAAATGTATCTTTCTTTTAAACATTCTTTATGTTGACATAAACAGTTACCAGTGGGAAACAATGCAATAATTAAATCTCTGTTTACACCTGTATGTATTCAAAGCTTTTTTTTTCCCTCCTCTTATTTTGTGGGCTTTATTGAATCAGCTATTTGGTGGTTGTACTTTTTTATTGATTTCAGCTAAAACCATGCGATATAGAAAGGACACTCTACATTGTTCACCTTTCTCAGGGTGCTCTTGAGCGTAGATAACTTTTTGAGACTCCTTTCCTCCAGGAGGTGGTGGTTCTGGGACACAGAGGAGCACATTTTTTGATGGGACCAGATTTGAGGCACCACTACCTTGGGAAAAAGAACGAATTTCATCCAAGTATTCCAATGCAAAAGGTAATCCATTATTATATATTTCCAAATTTTTATATTTTAGATCATTTTCGTTCCTCTGCAAGTGTGATGGGCATTATATATTTTGTGTGAAACCAATCTGAATTGAAATTTCCCATTAACAGTGTGATTTCTTTCACTGCAAGATGATAGCAGTCATTGTATGCTATGGTTTGTTTCTGCTCCTTTTAGCTAGTTTGCATCCTCTGTTAGATTCAATGTGGGCAGGATTAGTCCCCGAGTTATTAAAATCTTTGATGCTCAAGTGTTAGATCACATGGAGCACTGTGCACTTGCCAATTCTGTCAAGTAAAACAGATTTCAATGTAGGTGGTATCTCACAAAACATGGGACTTAATACTAAAAATATAGTTACACTTGTGATAAAGTATGCCTATTAAAAACTAGTCACATACAGCAAATTAAGATACCTACACCAAAGTACCTTGATCATAAGCTTCATTCTTTTCCCAAAGAATTTCAGAATTTATTTGTCAATGTAGAATATGTATCAATATGACTATTGTATCAATCTTTAGGTAGATTGTTACCCGGTTATTTCTCGACAGTTTTAGAGTAAAAAGAAAAAAAAAAAGATTTTGTTTTTAAACTACCCCATAAACTAAACAAAAAGTAGAGGATTTCCACCACGTTCTGGCCTGAAGTGAGAGAAACCAAAAGTGTTTACTTACATTAGTGGGAGAAAAGGAAGAACAAAGCCACATCTTCCTGAAGAGTAGAAGGGGCCAGGAGAAGAGCACTGTTGTTACCTTACACTGAAACTTTCCTTCTGAAGTTCTGTTTGTAGTTTGAAGTGAGCCTATCTATGCAACAAATGCTATTGCTATTTTATTCTCCTCATTATGTATTTTGTTATGTTCATGTGCTGCCCATGTTCAGGATGTATCTAGATGCTACAGGCAGAAATCATTCACAGTTCAGCCAGGTGTCCTTTGGAGTGCATGGCGTGGTCTCCATGGGCTCAACCATGGGTGTTCCAAAGGTCCACACATCACTTATGAAGTGTAGAGAAAGGATGATCTGGTCTTTGCCTGTAGGGTTAATTTTTGAGTTGGCTTTCAAGATTTCTTCTGCTAGAGGGAAGAGAGGCACTTTTAATTTCTTTTTGGAGAATGATACTTACAGAATAATTAACACGTGAAACCATGTTCCGCCCAAGGCAACCCATGTATGAAGTGGGAGATTATGTTTTCAAAACACCACAACAGTTTTGGATAAAAACATTTTGTCTGCTTTCTAAAAAAGTAAATATATGTTATTTTAATTCATCAGAGACAAACCACACTGAGCTGGTAAAGAACCATCGCTGTAAGGAAGTAAAAGAAAATAAATGCATTTCTGAAGAGCCAAGAAATTCAGCTAATACAGTAACTGGCAAAGGTATTTGCAGAAAACTGCTGGTTTATTCATTTTTATTTACTAAACTGTGAGATGATTTAGCACTACCTAGTTAGTTTCTGTTCTTAGTATCAAATGTGGACAGTCCATATTTGGATTGGACTATCCACAAAGAATATTTTTTTAATCTTATTGTCTAGCCTCCAGTCTCCTGCAATATCTCAAATTTTGAGTAATAGCACAACTTTTTGTTTGTATTTTCACTTCTAGGAATTCAGACTTTGGACCCCAAAGTAAAACCAAGGTACCAACAAAGGGGTCAAAGTAAGAATGATGAAACTGCTTCTTCCAGTCCTTATGGGAAAGAAACTGGAAGATACACTAATTTAAATTCTCCAGAACCTCGACGATCAGCATATGTAGTCTATCGTACAGTCACTCAAAAACCAAAGTTCAATGGATCTACAGGTGGGCTCCTGCTTATGCAGAATTCTTAAAATGACTGTCTGTATTGTGCTGCAGTCAAGTGTGTCTCTGCAGGTAAATATGTTATTTATGCCTAAATACAGGTATAAGTAAATTTGATTAAGCATAATTTTGACAAATAGATTTCAACCATATCCATAGACAGAAATGTAAAGATTTATAAAGCTTTACAATTTGTCAGAAAGAAAATCCACAAGCAATAATTGAACCACCTTCACAGCAGGAATTCATGAATGCAGTGATGTACTAATGTGCACAAATATACAGTTACCCAGTTTTACAGCATCTTTTATGTGATTTATTCTTTCCAAATATTTAGTAAACTTTATTAGGGTTAAAAAACCTCCACTTTTAACTTCTTATTTTATTCTAACTAATGATAATAGAAGTAATTTTACAGTAGAATTTATGTTTTGTCTTAAGAAATATTTCTTATTCAACTTCTATTGTCCCAGTAAGGTGTGAAAAAATGACCTTGCTTTGCATAGTATAATTCCACAACTAGGATTTCACCAGAGTTAAAGATTGCTATGGATTTATATTTATTGTCATTATTTAGGGTTATTTTTCATCTTGAATAAACATGGCTTTGGGTCTTATTCAAACTTCTCTTACCTATTTAAATAGAGTGGACATTTTTGTGATTTATATTAGTATTATTTTTTCACATTAGTTATGTTGGACAAAGGACTGAATCCCTTCCTCCTCCCATTCATACAGGATGATATTTTCCTTCATATTTTTTTCCATCTTTGAAATACTCTACTGTCCTCTTGATGATACATGCTATGTCATTAATTTGACAAGAAACCTACAGGTGGGATTCTGAGCCTTACATCTTTCTTTCTGGCAATCTGTTTTGGATGTAACTCTGATTTTATAACTTTATTTTTATCTTTCTAATAGAGCTTCGTACATCATTTGGGCTTTATTTGCCTTTCCACCTTCTGTGTCCATGGTTTCCCTGGATAATTGTATTTTTTCATCTGTCATTTTGCCAACAAATTCAGTGGTAAATAATTTAAATAACCATAAGTTAAGAAAGTGATTTCATCTTGCCAGTTTCAACCATCTTTTAAGCTGTATTGAATCTCCATCTTGAGGTGACTCCCTGTCTTAATTTCTAATAACAGGAACTTCCTTCAGACAGAGTAATGCCTACTTTAAGTTGAATAAAGTTAAGTGACATGAATTCCAACATCACTGCTTAGTCTTGAGGACAAATAGCTGTGTGTTTTTTGTTTTTTCTCTGAATGATTGCTTTCATTAAATGTAAACAGGTTGGTATAGAGATATAGAGAGAACATTCTTAATGTGAAGAGTGCATTTTATCAAATTTCCATGTTAAAAAAGGATAGAGCATTTCAGAAAAAATGGTAATCAACATTTTTGTCATAGGAGCAATCATTAACGTTTTTACTGCCTTTCTTTCTAGCAGTACCTGAATCATATGGTCAGAAATGCTCAAAACAGAAGAATCAGCCTGACAACAATAGGAGATTTTGGACACAAACAGAAAACTATGGTAATACTTACATGTTGTGCATAAACTGAAAATTTTAGGATGATTATTAAATTAATAATTTGAGTTATTGAATTAAGATAGAACTATCTTCTGTTATTATTAAATTAATATTAATAATATTAATTTTAAATCAAATTTTCTAGAAAGTGGCTTGTGATTATGCACCATACTCTGAGGCACAATCAGTTGTCTAGCACAAAAACATGAGATAGCCTTGTGCTATGTTATGCTAAAACATATGTGGTAAAACATAATTTGGCCTTGTGAAAGCACTATATTATAGTGCTTTCCCAAACAGGAGGTTAGATTATGGATTAGTTTGATTAGTATGGATTAGCAATTGATGCCTTCGGGAAGATCTTCAGCACAGAAACATTCCCTTTGTTAAAACCAACGATGTCCATGGCAGAACCACCTTATTTGGAAGATCCTGTCACAGAAATGCTGCAGTATTACAAATGATCTTTAAAGTATTAGAGAATCTGTCTTTAATATTAGCTTGTGTTTCAGAGGTGAAATGTTATTCACCTGATGCATTCATTGACACTCAGCTAACGTAATATTTAATTCACATATCACACTAAGAGAGTCTTTCCTAAAATTGTGTCTGAAATAAAGAAACAACATGTATGTTTTCCCCTACAGGCAAATATACTTCAGGATCTTCTAATTCACCAACTTGGAGAAAAAGAAATCCACAGGCAAAACCAATCTCTAAGTTTAAAACAACCACTCAGGTAATTGATAAAAATGGTTTAGTCTTTTTAGGTCAAGTGACATGTCTCCTCACACCTAGAAAGCGTAAAGTGCTTGTAAGACTTGCACAGTCCAAACCTGCAAGATTCTAATCAATGTTAAGCAGTCTGAAAGAGTAGTTTTGTTTGTTTGCAGACATGTACTTTGGTTTCTTTGCAGACATGTACTTTTACGTATATAACTACCCTGTGATTTCTAAATTTTTTTACAATAATACTGGTATGAAAGCAAAATGTGTACCTGCCTTTATAGTGGAGTACTACAAAAAACAAGTTTTGGATTCTAGCACAGGACAAACACAGTAGAGACTATATGAGTGGTCTTTCTGTTTCTCTGCTGGATTGTTCATGAAGCATCAGCAATGGCTGAATGACAAGCAGCTGAGGTCCAAATTCATAAAAAGACTCAGGCTACAAAACATTCACAAGACACTCTAAGGACCATTAATGCATTTTACAGCTGTCTTGAAAGAAGAGATTAGAACCTCTATCTCATGATTACTGCTTAAATCTTTCTGAAAGAGTATGTAGTTTTACTCTAGTAAATTATGTACAAAATGTTCTGTATATCTATTTTGACAGCAGAGCCAAGAAGACATGGAAGGCAATAGAAAAGGAGAAAAAGAAAAATCTAAAGGAAAATAAGGAGATTATCAACTGGAATACAAAAAGATGATGAACCTGCAAATTCCAAAAAGAAGGTGTAGGAATTACACTGTAATGTTTCTAAGTTGGCTAAAAAATTTAAAAAGTATACTCTGCACAGTCACACATAAAGGTGTTTAATATATCCCCTAAGTTTAATCCATTGTGAAAATTTGGCAGTTGAAGTTATTTTTACAGATTATGGCTGTACACCAGAAGACTGACAGTAATAGATATCCATAGAGAGCAAAAATATCCCTAAGCAGTCTTCCCCTTTTTTATTTGGCAGATCTTTAAAGGCATAATTCCTAATATGAATAAATACTATTTACTTAGCAGTTTCAGAAGACTTTTGATGTGGACAACAATAGAATGTAGCTGTTCTGGTGTAAAAGCCATATTCTTAGATGGCTTAGCTGTTTGCCAGATGTTTGGGGGCTCAGTCTGAATTTGATCTTGAAATTTTGCTATTTTAGCAGAGAAACAGAACTGTGTTATGAACTAAATGAACTTCACAACAAAATTCTCAGAATCAAATGAAATATGTATTTGCACACATTTTAAACTAAAATATGAAGAGTTGGGTAAAGACTGAGAGGAAGACTGATAAGAATGAAATTTTAATATTGCTTCCTGGAGAAACAAGCTTCATACTGAGGTGTTACATATACGTGACTTCATATCTTTATCTGAGATGTTTTTCTTTTTTTTTGTATTTGCCTCACCTTTGATCATTCTTAGAACATAATCAATTTTTGAGAAGAACCCTTCAGACTTCTTTCTGTAACACTGACAATTACTGTCCCATAATTATCTTGGTAGCACCTGTAACTCAGTATGAAAGCACAACCTTGGAGTCTTTTATTCATTGTGACTTTTCAGAGCATGAGGATGGATCAGATACCTTCCAGGGTACTTCTAGATGAAATTATTTTCTCGTTCTATGAGAAATATAGTCATATATTTCTCTGTCCTACTTTACTGAAAATATCTCAATAATGGAATAATTTTTATTCTATTTTGAAATTTATATAGGCATCACTTTTCTTAACTGAGAGAAGAATAGAAATCCCTAGAGTATCTAGTTTAGCTAAGTACAAGTGTACAAAACAAGAAACACGTTTTTAAATCAAGGAACAAGGTGTTGAAAATGTTCCCAACACCCCTAATTAAACACTGCATATGCAGCCTGTTGGTTCATGCCACACAGATGCCTTACCACAGGAGAAAATCAACCAGCTCCTTGGAATAGGGGAACCTGCAGGGAGCTCCTGCTTGGTACAGGTGATTACACCCCCTGCCTGGCCTCACCTTTATTTAGCAGTGCAGCAAGAAGTTCTCAGGTGAACATCCCTTCTGTTTGACAGTAGGAATGAGGAATATAGTTGGCTTCTTTGGGAAAATCCTGTAAGAGTTCCAATGACCAAAATAGGATAACTTTTCCATGGATGGGATCTGCAGGGTATGCTGGGCTATGGTTAGAGGTCCATTCAATGCTGCACAATTTGGGGCTCCCAGCATCTGAAGGGTCATACGATCTATACTGTCTTCCTTTTCTTTTTAGTCTGGTCTCAAAAAAACCAGGACCTTGAGAGATGCTTTACAGAATCTGAGCACCTTACTGACTGGGATCACAAACAAAGCATCTCCTGGTTCAACTTTATCCACCTCCCTGTCCTGAAAAGCCAATCCCACAAGCCAAAGCCAAAAGAAAATAATTTTCTGGCATCTTAACATACTAACATCCCAGCAAGTGATTGGGCTAAGTGTCAGGCCCAGCTCAAGGAAAAGACAAAGAAATGCAGGAGGAGAAGGTGTGGCCATGAGGGCAATTCTTGGCTGATCCTGGGTTGTGGAACCACAGCCTCAGTACGTTATCTCTTCCCTTTTCACTGGAGCTTCCTGTAGAGAAATTACAAATACTGTTCTCTTCTCATCACTTGCTCAGAGGAAGTCGCAGATACTAAGAAATATGTCACCATTGTACACTTAATATATGGCTCAACAAGATATTAACAGTTCCTGTGAGGTGTTAACTGCTCTTGATGGAAATTCGAGGAACAGAAAGAGATCGAGTGCTTTGAGTGATCAAATTCTTAAATAAGATTTCCCTTTCACAGCTTCAAGGACACTAAGATCCTTTTAAATAATAAAAATATATGTGTGTTTTCCAGATCACAGACATTTTCTCTATTATATTTTTTAATCCGCTCTTGCTTGGTCTTCTTTGTCATTAGGGCCTCAGAGAGGAGCCAAAGGAAATTGAGGATATTCAGCATTTTATGCAGCGAGGCCCTAAAGATTGCACTTCTTTTGCATTTTCTCATAATCACTGTATGACAGATCCCCCACACTTATTTAAGCATATAGTACTTGAAAATAAGTCCTGAGATAATGAGCCAAAGATCAGAGGCAGAGGGCTACTGAAATAGAGTTGAATTTGTCCCAGTATTAATAAGTATGCATGGCCATAATCTGCTGCTGAATTGAAAGGCCCAGAGGAAAGAAGTGATTTGTTGCTTTCACCCTATACATGTTAAAATATGTTAATGTTTTTCCAAATGGTACTTCTGAAAACACATCAGACGTCTAGTCTAGATGAATCATATTACTTAGTAAAAGGAATAACAGTGGTACTACCTGTATTTTATCAAAAGTTTGCAAAGCTTCCAGTCTGAGAGTCTGCATTCCTGAACAAAATTATATGGCTAAATTAAAACCATTAACTCCTAGCATCTTAGCAGCTCTAATAATTTAAATAATCTGTTTATTAATTAACTCAAAGTCCATCTCAACACTGGAAGGAGAAAAACATTGATGGTTACAAAAGAAAAACCGAATTAAATGTTCCTGGGAATTGTAGGCATTGTTTAAAAAAAGATGGTTTTCACAGTTTCCATTTGACCTAATGTCTTCAAAGATTGATATCCTTGTTGTTGCTATTCATGCATGATCATAGAATCATAGAATTATCAAGGTTGGAAAAGACCTCCAAGATCAAGTCCAAGGCTTATTAATGAATTTCCACTTGAAGGATAGAATGTGCTTCTTACATCTTCACAACACTTTCTGCTCCCAAGAAGGATCTTTGAAGATTTTGAAGATTACAATGCCTCACAGGAGTATGTAACAAGCACAACATACTGTAACATGACCCATGGTAATCCTATTGACTTCAGTAGAATTACTGATATTCTTAAATTCAAGTGTATCTTGATTGATCACAGCAGAGTGGCTTCCAAGTTTTTCATTTCAGTATGCATTGCAGCCTGCCAAATTCATGTTGCTCTTGGAGATGGATGAGGATGTTAAATGTAGCAAGACTTTTAACTTTTGAAGCAGAATTTGCGAGCTGAGGAAATATAGTAGAGAATTGTATGAGGAACAATAAATTATGGAAATGTTACAATCAGTTGCAAATAATAAAAATTAAATAAAAAAAATAAAATTTGCAATAAAACATGCCTTGTACCAGCTCTTTCAGTTGGGCAGTGCCAATCAAAACCTTTGTTCTGTTGGTGTAGGAATACAATGAAGAGTACTCCTTAGTAGGAGCGCTGGTGAAGAGGAGACAGAACTCTTAAATAGCTTGTGCTCATAACAGACCATTAATATACAGAAATTAAATATTTGTTTTGAGGTATTTTTAAGTTTATTCCATTATGTTTATATCTGTAGGTCTTTCTCATAGGCCAAAGCACATGTCAGCAAGAATAGTGTCAGTATGGTTTGGAAAAATGGATTGCTGAACTAAACACATACTGCCAGCTGTCAAGAGAAGTCTTAAGTCTGTTAAAGAAGTAAAACTGAAAAGTGTGTGGCCATATTTTTGTGTCCAGTATAAGGAATTGAAAAATATGATAAAATATTTTGCAAAGTACTTAAAACTGGGTCTTTGGAAGAGGGTATTGTTCAACATTTTGTGAGGTGACAATAATATATTTCATAGTCAAAATGCCACATGATGGTAGTGCTGAGATTCCTGGTACACTAACAGTATAATTTCCTTCAGGTAAGGCAGCTGCAATGTTTCAATTCTGGAAACTGGCAGATGTTTAACATTTCTTAACTTGAGGCCACAGACACCTGCTGTTTGATTTAAGGCGTTAGAAAAACTACCAGCATGGCTTGAAGTGAAGTTGCTGTAGAATAAATAACCACAACAGCTGAACTCTTTTGATTTACTATTGTTTTATTTGCTCAGAGTCCACTGCACTATTTCAAAGTGACACACCTCAGGGATTCACAGCAGACTCTCCTTCCCTTATTCCAGTATGACTTATCCAACATTTGGTTTACTGGAAAAAGCTGTTTTAAGAACCATTATTTTAAAATCCCCATGATGGTACACGCTACAGTTATTTAAAAACCAAGCAATAGCAGTTCATAAGATTTATTCTAACAGACTAGCAACCTCTTTTTATTAGATTATGTAATGGAAATAGGTTTTCACTTACCAGATCATACAATTCTTTTCTCAAGAATTTGAGATGTGCCTCTCCCCAAAGCCAGTCTTGAGAAAACTACCTATTTCCCATGTAAACTCCAGGCAAGTGGCAAAGAGGTGATGTCCTGAATAGAACGCTTCCTGATTTTATAGATCGATGTATATAGATAGATATGGACATGTCTGTATTTTTTTGGAGTGTACACAGGAGTTAGCAGGCCTTGTTGTAGAGCTTTAAACTACTTTGGAAGGGGGAAGGGGACAAAACCAGGCTCACCAGTGATAAGTGATGGGGTGTTGTGCCAAAACTTGAGAAAACAAGCACTAATGAGATCCCCCATTCTGCTTCACCAGGTGTTGGCTACAAAATACCACACCTGAAATGTTTCTACACTAATGCACGCAGCATGGGGAGCAAACAAGAGGGGACCAAAGCGGCTGTGATTCCTTTGAAATATTTTTTTGAATGATATATTCTGATAGAATACTTCTGTTTTGACAAATTCACATTTTCTACTGGAACCAGGCTGTTAAAAATTTTCCAGTTCTCCGCAAATTAAACTTAGTGAATGTGTTATTCATGGCACCCTAAATAGTACCTCTCAAAGCTGAACTGTTTCAGCAGTTTCATTCTCCACACAATCAATGTTTACCCAAACCTCTCTTAATTTTTGTTGTTTGTTTGTAAACCTTTTGTCATATCCCTTTTTGATGAAGTGGTCAGCACGGAACAGTGGTTCGGAGGAGACTCATTGATTTATGTGATGGCATTCGCTTTCAATACTGTTTTCAACACTGCTGCGTTTGCATCCTAAGATTGTTCTTTTGATTGATGCAATATATCGAGCAGAAAGAGTTATTGAGTTTTTCACAGAAGTTTCCAAGTCTTTTTCCACCCCCCCTCTGCTGTTACAGATAATTTAGAATCCTATAAAGTGCGTTAGTAGGTCAGATTATTCTTCCCAGTATTTATCATTAGCTTTTCTTCCTGAGCCCTGCAAGGAAGGCTGGCAGTGGTGTTGCAATCAGGCTTCCCCCAGAGTAGCACAGCTTGAAATTTGGCCTGGGACTCTGCGAGCACACTGCACCACAGCAGCCATGCAGGATGGGCACAGAGGTAATGTCTTCCCCACAGAGACCTGTCCTCTTTACCATCAGTGTGACACCCCCTTGTTCTCACAATTGCACACTCCAGATGCAGGTTATCGGAGGAGCAAATACTAAGGAGAAGATGATATGTCCTTAGTTTTCTCAAAGAACTGTGCTTCAGAAACCTAGGTTTTACTGTAGAGTGTATGATGTATGAAAAAATTATTTCCTACTATTACCCTAAAAATCATCTGATACATAATTGGTCAGCACTATGATTTAGGATGAGACCTGGCAAGATAACTGCCGTAATTTAAATTGCTAATGTCAGTCCTATAAAATTTTCTGTGGCTTTTGCTTAAATAATATATTTTTAAGGGACCTGAAGGCTTCCTGAAAAACTAACCTCATAACTGCTGTGAAAATGCTCAATGTTTTGGGATTTTGTTATTCTTTATTATGTGCTTTTAATTGGCCTTCTATCATCTGTCTGCAAACTGTTCTGTGAGTTGAGTTCACCATGCTGTGAGTTGAGCACACGAACCAACCAACACAGGCTGTCTGGTACAGGCAAATACAAAGAGCAAATAACACATAGGAAAAAAAAATGCAAAATGTATTCTAACATGGAGACTTTAAAATTTTTTTTTGCCACCAAACAAAAAGAAAAAGTTTAATATTAGAGTGGTCAGCATGGAAAAACCTTTAAATGAATAAATGATCTAGATTTCATGGATAAAGATTTTCTACCTTTAGTAGGCAACTGCTGAGAGATCAATTTAGCCTCTTGGGCTATTGCAGTGTAACAATTTGCTACATATAAAACAAATAGCATGGATTAAACTAGATTCATTTTTTTCTGGCAGATTAAGCTGCTGTCTTCTGTCAGGTTCCCAGCTCAGTACTTTTTGCCAGTGCTTGTTCATAAAAGAAATTTGTCACCTACTAAAGCATTGAAGTAGGAATGATTATTTGAATACATTTATAAGTAACATTTCAATAGTAACACAAGTTGTATTTCCAATTTAACTTTCAATTACTTCCTGGAGGAGTACTGTCCAGAAGAGAGCCTGTTCACTGTAGCTTGGTCAGTCACGTCCTAGAAGTATGATTAAAAGCAAGTGTCACAAGAAACTCTTTCTCCTAAAGGAAGGACATTACACATTCTTTGCTCTTGCAAAGGGATGTAAATATAGTGTAACTGTTACCTCTGAGTAATCTCCTAATATGAATGATCGATCCACTAAAAAAAAAAGAAACCCATACCCTCCAGTCTTAGGAGCTGTTAATACTAAAATCTCAACCAGGCCTCCAGAAATGTGACATTTTGTTTTTATTTTTCTTCCCAAGGAATGATCAACATTCAAAATGAGAAGAAATCTAATTACCTTCTCTATGACTCATGTTCAAACTCCACTCTTCTGATTAATTTATTAACAGCACTGTGGCTAATCCAGGGCCTGCAGTCAGGATTGCTGGGTATAGCTTAGCAGAGTTTAGCAGTTAAGCTTGTTAATGAAGCGTGAGAACCAGCATCGTCCTGCTCAGCCTCTCTGCTGTGTTGGGGAGAAATGCATGACTTGCTTATTTTGCATAGGGTTTTCTGTACCTGAATGGAAGTTAAGTGTAGGAATGTGAACTCGATAGGGTAAATTGTACCTTCCCTGTAAGGTGACACTTTTCCGCTCTCTAGTTTTTCCCCTCTCGCCTGGCCCCAGGAATTTCACTTACAAGTGTAGAACAGCTATACCATTTTCAGGGGGCATCAGAGAGGCCAGTTTTTTTGGTTCAGGTCTTAAGAGATAAATTAGAAAAAGAGGAAAAACTCTAGGTAGGGCAAAAGGCTGCGGTAGTCTACAGTTACTCTCCAAGACACAACCCAAGGATGGGAACGTAGAGGTACCTTACAGTACTGTTTAGGCTCATGGGAAAGAAGTGGGGTCTTGGTGTAACCTCCCCCACACTAAGAGGAGTGAGAAGTCATGAAAATTCAGCCCCATTTCTGGAACAGAAAACCATGCTAGCCCCATTAATGGAAGTGTAATCAAAATAACCAAAGTGACAGGTGTGGACCAGGTAGAGACAAAGCATGAAGCACAGAAGTTATTTGGTAAATATTGGAAGCAAAACAGCTGAGGAAGACTCATCTTGGAGAAAAAAATCCACACGATAACTCAAACGATGTACTACCTGACCCTTTGGCAACTTCTGCTTTATATGGACCCCAAGCATAAATAGACATATGAGCTGCCATGGAGATGCAGTGAAAATACATTGGGGAAAGTTCTCAAGAACAGCTGAATGGCAAGCTGGTCAGACATGAAATGTGAGAAAAGCAGCAGAGTTTCTGTACCTATTACAGAATCTGGAGGTACCTTCTCTTTCTTAGTACCATGGATTGCCTTTTGTATTCAGCCTTCTATAAGCTTTCTATCTCTGATCAGCTTGAGGTTTTTAAAGACTTTTTCCTCAAAATGCATTCTGAGACTGAGGATTTCTGTGGGTTCTTTGACAATAATAATAAGTACTTATTGTGACTTGGGAAGGGGGATCAAAATTAGAAAAAGAGTTTGGTTGTTTTTTTCTGCTTGTAGTAGGTGGCTTACTTTTTCATAGAATTTATAGGAACTTTGATATTTTATCATACTCTTCTTCTTTTGTTCTACAAGTTTCTTGGCAGTCAAAACATTATTTTGCACAAGATGGCAGCAAAAATCAAAAAATAGATATGTGTTTCTTTTGGGAGCTGGTTTCTTTCTGAAAGAAGATTAAAACCTTAAACAAATCATAAAGGGCAGCTATAAAATAAAACAAAACAGAAAGTAATTATTTATTTAGAATTCTGTGTCT